GGGCACCTCCCAGAACATTGTTTTGTGCCACTCCCAACAGAAATACTCCAGGTGGACACCTTCAGCAATCAGGAGCTCCTCAGTTGCTCATAGCAAATCCCACCTTGGAGTTTACAAAGACTTATGGGTAGAAAAGCCACACAAAGTAATTTACTACACTGCATCACTACAATACGATTTAGTAGCAACACCAAAACCAAACCAAACTCACTGCTATCGAGTCGATTCCAACTCATAGCAACCCCTACTGGGTTTTCAGGCTGTAAATCTTTACAGAAGCAGATTGCCTCATCTTTCTTTCCCAGAGTGGGTAGTGAGTTCTAATCACCAGCCTCTTGGTTAGCAGCCAAATGTTTTGACCACTGTACAACCAGAGCTCCTCATATATATATATGTGCATGTGTATGCACATATATATATGTATGTGTGTGTGTGTGTGCATGTGTATGCATACATGTGTATGTATATATATATATATGTATGTATGTATGTATGCATACACACACACACACGCAATACTATCTAGAACAGTACTGTCACCATCCAAGTCCATTTTCCATGGAAAGTGTATGCTTATTTCAGTACAAGAAATTTATGAGTTGATAAAATGATTGTGTGTATTTTATGTAAAGGCAGTATAATCTAGAAGATAAGAGCTTGAGCTCTGGATTAGACACACCTGGATTCAAATTGTGTCAGCTATTCATTGTCTATATGTACCTGTTGCTGTCAAGTTGATTCTGACTCATAGTGCCCCTAAAGGGTAGAATGGTTCTGCACGTTTCCAAAGCTGTAAATCTTTAGGGACTGCCACATCTTTCTCCTGTGGAGCAGCTGGTAGCTTTGACTTGTGAGTGCTTAACCACAGTATCATCAGGGCTACTACTGGCTATATAACCCTGGGTAAACTGCAGAATAGCTCTGGCTCTAATACAAAGTCATCTTAGAAAAGATACACAAGGCTAGAAGGAAAATTCAGAAATTAGGCCTTAGATAAATACACAAAATCCTCACAAGTCAGAAAGATTGTCCCCTTTATAATTCCAATTCTTTCAATTCAGAGCCAAAGCAAAGTTTTAACTATTTTTCCCACGCCATAAATATCCTTTGAGGAACTACTGATGTGCTTTATACATATATTTAGTTTAGCTAATATACACTAAATTTACTTATAATTATTAAGACACTCCTTTCAACAGTTACTTTATGTAAAGAGTAACTGATAATATAGGATTTAATGCTAACAATTTTAAAGGATTAAGTAAGCCAAAGGAGGGTACAATATTCTAACTAAAAGAACATCTGGGTAAAAATTAAGCTTTTATTTGTAAGCTGAGAAACCAAGTATAGCGTAAGTTGTTACATGTGCCTTAAAGATTTATTTCTTAATGGTCTGCCAATGGAAAGGCATCAGTGGCAATATCCAAAACAGGAGATGATCCTTTGTTCCCCATTATCAATTTAGGCAGAAGCAGTAAGTACCTTCTGAAGACAGTACAGTAAAATGGCTCTCACCTATATATACAGAAAAGGCACTGATTTTTCTTAAGTCATGGGTACCAGAATAATAATTCTCCTTTGATCTCACTCCTCTATCTTATTCTTTTCCATTACACCATTAAAACATAATCTTTATGCACACTAATTCCCAATAAGCTGGCTAGATTCTAGCCTATTCTTTGTTTTATGAAGAAGCTCTGAATTACAAAAGAAAGAATCATCTAACTTCGTAAACTTTTACCCAAATCATAATGAAATGCTGGAGGAAAAAAAAAACAGGTACCATTTGTCAAATTATTTCTCTGAGAAAATCTAAGTTCCAGACTTGACTGAACATATATATGCTATTCTTTGGATTTCCACCTAAACCAAACCAAACTCACTGCCAATGAGTCAATTCTTACCCAGTACTAGAGCAGAATTGCCCAAAGGGTTTCCAAGGCTGTAAATCTTCATGGAAGCAGATTTCCTCATCTTTCTCCCGAAGAGTGGCTGGTGGGTTCAAGCCGCCAACCTTTTGGTTAGCATCCCAATGCTTTAACCACAGCACCATCAGAGCTCCTCATTTTTAAATGTGCACAGAAGTCATATCTCAGTTGTGCTGAAAAATTCTTCAATTAAGTCTGGAACTTAGATTTTCTCATAGGAGTAATTTCACAAATGGTGCCTGTATTGGTTCTCTAGTGTTGTTCTAACAGAGATATACCACAAATGGATGACTTTAACAAACAGGGATTTATTCTCTTACAGTTTAGGAGGCTAGATGTCCAAGTTCAAGTGCCAGCTCTAGGGCCTGGGTGAAGGTCCCTCAACACTGGGCTTCAGCTCTGCTCCCAGACACTGGAGCTGGAGGTGTCTCTTAACTCAGGCAGCTGCTGGCTGCTGAGGCTGACATACCCAAGGTTGGCAAATAAAATGGCACAGTGCCAAGATTATCAAGCAACACAGCAGGCCACTAGTTCAAATCCAGAAACAGTCCCACGATCAGAAGACAACATGGCAGGCTGATGAATGAAGACTCAGCTACATGCAGGATCCCAGCATGCCAAAAAGCTCAAGACCTTTCTTAAAGCATCTTCTTACATACTGGAAGCAGAGCACACCCCTAAGGCAGCTACTCAGCTGCTCACAGCAGATTCCACAATGGAGCTGATAATCAATCTCATGATGGGAAATAACTATATCCAGCAGCCCAGCCACTTAAAACCAGGCCCAGCCTCGTTGACACATAATCTTAACTACCACAGTGCCTAACTTTTTTTCCCAAAAACATTTTATTGTGATTTAGTTGAAAGTTTACAGAGCACATTAGTTTCACATTCAACAATTTATAAACATTTTGTTTGATGACATTACTTGTCAAATTCCCTCAATGTAACAGCACTTCCTCTCTGGGTTCCCATTTCCATTCGTCCTTCTATCCTAACCCTTCCTGCACTCTAAACTTTGCTCTTGGGCAAATGCCACCCTCCTGATCTCCCATGCTTGACTGTTCTGAGGAGCAAATTGCTCACAGGTGTCTCTGTTTGCCCTATAAGCTTGTCTATTGCTTGGTGATCCCCTGGGAATCTCCAGGTTTGAAAGGTGTCTAAGATTCACAGTCCTGGGGTTCCAACAACCTCTATCAGACCAGTAAGTCTGGTCATTCTCATAATTTTGAATCTTGTTCTACCTTTTTTTTCCCACTCTCCAGGTTCAGATATTAGCAATCCAATCAGTATGGCTGGTAGTGGTAGCCAAGCATGAACCTCTTAATGATGCCTAAATTCTTAAAATGACTTGTCAAAGTCAGTAATACAGCTGAATTAATACAACTAACAACAAACTACTACTTCTTCAGGAAAATTGTTTCTGAGTTCCACTCCAAGACTGCTCCAAGCAGCAGACACATGAGATTTCAGCCAGGAAAGGTTGGGGGATTCAACAAACACATGAGGAAATGCTCACAATCATTAGCCATGAGAGAGATGCAGATCAAAACAATGAGATATCATCTCACCTAAGCAATAATAGCAAAGTTCAACAAGACAACAAATAACAAATGCTGGCGAGGTTGTGGAGACACTGGAACTCTCATACACTGCTCATGGGACTGCAAAACGGTATAACCATTATGGAAAATGGTATGGTGTTTCCTTAAAAAACTGAAAATAGAAACACTATTTGATCCAGCAATTCCACTACTAGGAATATATCCTAAAGAGGTGAGAGGCAGGACACGAACAGACATATGCACCCCATGTTCATCACAGCACAATTCAGTATAGCAAAGAGATGGAAACAACCTAAATGCCCATCAACGAATGAGTGGATAAACAAATTATGGTATATCCACACAATGGAACACTGTACCACAATGAAGAACAACAAGGGATATACGAATCATCTCACAACGTGGATGAACCTGGAGGATACGCTGAGTGAAATAAGTCAATCGCAGGACAAGTAATGTATGAGCTCATTACTGTAAAAAGACAGAGAAGGGTTTGCTTAGGAAAAGGAACTCACTTAGCAGGTTACCAAAATGGGGAGGGAAGGGAAGGGATTAATTTCGGGCTAGTTGGGGCCTACACGCTGACATGGGTAGAGGGAGGGATATACGGGAAGAATTTATGACCACCATGATAACATTAGGAAATGGGAGGACACCGAATTGTGCACATAAGAGATAAGATGACAGATGCTAATACCAACTAATGTGTCCACAATACTGCATTGCCATTAACAACA